AGTTGAGTGCCTCTCAATTAATTAGCATCCTGCTGATTCTCCGAGACGGGCCACTGCTAAGGAGATTAAAGTGGCTTCTACCACATTCCCAAGGACCAACTTAAACTGATTTCATTTTCTTTTTCCCCMTGTGTCATCCTGTGCCTTGCTGATTCAGGCAAAGCCCTTGGGAGCGGCTGGGATTTATGGCAGGCTGGTGGGGATGTCGCAGGGTGCCCAGTTCYGTCGGGAGCAGCCTGGCGGACACGAGGATGCTGCAGCTGATGACCCACCAGCCCCATTCTGCTGGTGTCAGCAGAGGACACACGGGCAGCTGGGCCGCTACTGGTGCACACGACAGCCCAGTTTGCAGAGGCAAGAACCGCAACGCAGCCCGGGCTCCGGGCTTGCCAACCCGCAGCACTGGCTGGATGTTGCAGCCTCGGGCATCGCGGAAGCCCCCGGGGCACCACGGCAGTGCCGGATGGACGCAGCGCYGCGGTGCTGCCGGGCTCCTCGCGAGCGGCGCTGGGGAGCGTCGGGCCCGACGGCCACGGCGCCGCCGCGAGCGCAGATCCACCATCCCTCGGGACGCACCGGGGCTGCTCGGCCTCCGCTTTGTGTTCGCTGCCCCGGCAGGCACCGAGAAGTGGTTTCTGCCCAAAAGCACGTGAGATTTCTGCCTTGCGTGGGAAATCCAATTAACACACCCTTTCCCCACGCGCGTGGGCAGCAGCTGGGACGCGCTGGAGCTGCACGGCCTCCCCGAGGCTAACGCAAGGTGCACGACCACAGTGTGTCCTGCCAATCCAGACAGAAAGATTGCCTGGAAGGCTGCCACGGGCCATAACTCTTCCAAAATAGAAGCGGGCTAATCTCAGGAACCTGCTGGTATTGCCAATGACATTAAGGAAGTGTTTGCAAAGCCCGAGCGAGCGCCTCGAGCGAGTGCCTCTCCAGCTCCTGCTTCCTTTTCCTCTCCTTTACTTTCTCCAGGTCTCTTCACATCACTTTGCTTCACACAAACCCTGCAAAGGCCAGAAGCAGCTTTGCAGCTTGATTACGCACATGGCGAAGCCGTGAAAAGAAAGCGGCAGGACTCACCCGCRCCGGGAAACCACATTTCCAGCGCCCGGATGGTGAGTGTTGAGGCTGGAGGCGAGGACGGAACGGAGAAGGGACGTGCCACCAGGCTGCATCCCGCTCCTCCCCGAGCCGCAGGGCGCCTCAGGCACGYGAGCAGCGGCGAGGGGAGGCCGGGTGGGACTCGACATGCCCAAGGGACACGGACAAGTGTGTGTCCCCCTCCTCCTCTGCCCGCAGCTCTTTCCAGGCAGCACCAGCTCCCTCTGTAACACTCGTCCCGCTGCGCCTGTGCCAAACACGACACCCACACCCGTTTCCTCTGATCTAGGACAGCGCAGCACAACCCCAGCGCTGCTCTGGGTCTCCCTTGACTTGCGTTTCCCCCTTGCACAGGCAGCAGCAAGTCGCTTAGACACCCAGCTTGATCTGAAAGGCAGAAAAGCATCACCAGGGATCTCTCTATGAAGAACATGAGCAGTTGTGGTAGGACTCGCACRAAAAGAGCACCTTAAGCTCAGCGCCCCGTCTCCTGGCTGCCAACATGCAGTGCGTGCCCAGACCCCACCGGCCGCGGCCTTCTGGGGGCCATCGCTTCAATCCCCCAGGAACTACCGAGGAGACCTGAMGGTCCTTCTTAACCAGCAACGAAGAGGCTACCACTGACTGGGGCCCAACGAGAAACTCGGTGTCTCTGCAACTGGGTGACACCGGCAGGGTCTGGATTTCCGACCCAACTGGTCTGTCCAACTCAAGAGGACGATGCTGCTGGGGCAGAGAAGGCAAAAACCGCGACGCTTTCTGCCTTCCATTGGCCTTGATTCACTGCGGACTTAGCTTGGCACTGAGGGACTGGATATTTTTGCATGCATAGAGTCACAGCAAACTAGGTAAAAACTCAAAAAAATAGTTCATATATATGTTGCACCCTCAGAGGGTCGCCTTTCTCTCCACTGCAGTTGTGCGCATGGTGTTAATCGCTTTACACTGTCTTCAAGACTCTGGTGACACTAGACTGGGTTTAGTTTCAGGAGAAAGAACTGGTTTCCATTCTGTAACAGCCTCCACYGCTGAGGCAGRAGATCCTCAGGCAAAGGCTCAGGTCCCAAGGCAAAGCCTCAGYGGGTCTGCAGCCAGGAGGCACTTCCGAGGGAAGCCCAAACTGGCAGAGCTTCTCTCAACCCCAAATCTGCTTGTCCAGACTGAAATCAGGTTGAAGCAAGACCCYGGAAAGCAGATCCCAGAGCCAGGTGGAGGGCACAGAAACCCTGGACGTGCGTTGCAAGTGCAGGGGGGCTCCCCCACCGCTCACCTGTACCATACTTGGCGGCCACCTCCACCTCTGTCCCATCCGTTTTGTGCAAGGTCCTGCTGAAGCCACCGCTGCTCAGGTAGGAGAGACCAGGAAAAGTCCTGATACTGGACGTTACCAGCTGTGGGGCAGCCCTGAAAAGGCTTGGCAGAAAGGCTTTGGGAGGAACCATCAGGGAAGTGGGCGTGCTTGCTGAAAAGGGGMATCTTTCAGATGCTCTGTTATCAAGGAAGGAGCTGAGCCGCAGCACAGCTGTTAACATCTGTCTAGCAGATTTGCTGTAACAAAATCAGAGGCTGCCTATCACCCTGAGGGCAAAATACTCTAATAAGCCTCTGATATCTTCACTGATTTGAAAGGGAAACTGAGGCAAGGAGCAGCTGTGTGACTTGCCCTGGGCCAAGCTGAGAGTACTGGAGTCCTAATGAAGCCACAAGCTCCTGAACCACGGGCTGAGCTACCAACGTGCCTGATAGAACACCCATGGCTGGGGACAGAAGAAGGAAGGAACTCCTCCTTCMCTCCTCCACGTGAAGGAAGCAATGGCCTCTGTCTCTCTTTCGGATGATGTGGGATCTCTGTGGTGCGACCAGCTCCACGAGCACCTGGAAGGCAGGTCCTGGAAGCGCCGGAGAAGCGGCTACGGGAGCCACTCGCGAGCAGGAGCGCGGCTCGCGCTGCGAGCTCGCGTGCCGCGGCCGCCCCGACACTAATGTCACCTGGTGCTAACGTGCGTCACTTCCCCGGGCACGCCGTGCTGCTGCCGCTCCTCTGGCTTGCCGCTTCTCTTCGCGCAATTTGATGCTTGCAGATCTYGGATACAGAAACCAGAGCGACGCCTCCTGTTTTCAGCCTGGCTGCTTCCCGCCAGCCCCAAACCGGGCAGGGACAAACGGAGACATTGTTCAGGGCAAAGGGAAAAAGAGCAGCGCTTCATGCGAGGGTAATTGAGCTGGGAGAGCTGGTGCCTGCTCCTTGCCAAGCTGCTGGTGCTCCACGGAGGATCTTACCTCCACGGCTGCCTCTTTTGCATGACAAGACATACAGAGAAGGGATACATAAGAGCGCAAAGAGTTTTCAGAGCTGCTAATCTAAAACACGGGAGTTTTTTGGTTTCACTGGTTGTCCTGACAGGGATTTGCTGTCAGAAAGAGCAGTAAATACAAGCCCRTCATGTAAGGAGGCTGAGGCTCCTCCAGCAAAGGTTTTTAAAGATCTGCTCAGACAAACGGGGCTCTGAGATGGGCTGGACAGAGCTAATCCTGGCTTTAGGGAAAGGACTGGCCCCAGCCCACGGCTCTTTAGGGCAAGGGGCCCTTCAAACTCAAATCCTCTCACACAAACATACAACTAATCAGCATTGCAAATGTCACCAACTTTTTATTCGGCTGTAGCAAAAACCACGGTGTCAATACTGTAAAAAAAGAAAAAAATCCACAGAATGTTTTCTCACAAGCATAAATAGTCCTTCAATTTAAAAGCTGAGGGTCACTGGGAGCAATGACTCTTCAAAGTCCTTTTCAGACCTCTTTTGTACGCTGCTGCAATGAGAATTTATTGCGCCCTTGGCAAAATAGGCAGGTCCCAACTGCTGTAACTTAGAGCTTGCTGCTGTGTGACCGTAAAGGACAGGACGTGTTCATAAAAATTACAGAGGAGGCTTTTGTTGGTTAGTTAAAARGCTTCTCAGTGGCGGTGGGTGTCTGCAGCAACAATGAAGCATTTCTGGAGAGGACAAAGCATTTCAGCCAGCTAGGAAAACAAAAAGAAGATATCACAATCTCCTAACCAAACCCTGCAATTTAAATTCACAGGATTGGTGTTTATTATGAACCACTCGGCTTTCCTCAAAGCGACAGTGACTCCTTACAAAAAGCCAGGCCCGCGGTGACAATGAGGGCTGCTCTCCCAGGAAAATAAAGGATTATTTCTCCCCACTGAAACCAGCCGCATCAAACACTGGCAGCTGTGCACTGCCCGCCTGGGTTTGGTTCCCAGCGTCGGAGGAGAAAAATATTCTTAGAAATGCAGAAAAAAGAGCTCGGATCCCAAAAAGGTCAGGAAAGAGAGGAATTAGGGATTTTTTTTTTTTCAAAGCCACTTTCTCATTAAAATAGTACTTGCAAATCTAAAATATTTTTCATTGAAGCTGGGCTTAACTGACCCACTATTTTGGTGGGTGACCCGAGAGGGGTCCCGCGACCGTCGCTCTGCTTGCACTCGGCTACTTCAATTCCCACCCGCTCCCTGTTGCTGTGCCATAAGCCAGGCTAAAATTCCAAAGCTGGGGATAACATGGACTCACCTCCATCCCTCTCCCATCTCCTAAAGAGGCACCCTTACAAACCCGACAGCTTCCATCGGGTGGGCACGTTGCACGGCASGTCCCACGAGATTGCATTATCCTTCCCGGCTGCAGGTCTCCCAAGGCCTGTGTTTTCTTACACACACTGATTTTCCTGCTGCAGGGAAATTACCCACCGCCGGACAATTTGCACAAAGGATTTCCCCTTACAAAATATTTATTCACAGAGAAATGGAAAAATGGACAAAAAATCACAAACGTTTCAGGAAAATGCAGAGGTTCTCATGTGCYGTTAAGTGCAGCAGCATTAGACCTTGCACCTACTGGGCGTCCTCCGGCAGATGCAGCTTCCAGCGGGTCTCCGGTGGCGGGACAGGCTCTGTGCTCCGAGGCAGAGGTGCCCACGAGCTGCTGGATCCGGCAGYCGGCTCTGGCTCCAAGCAGGACCCTGCTCCCCAGCACTCGAGCTCCTTTACATGGTTGGATGTACCCGACATCCAAGTCTCCTTGCCATAAAAGCGCCCACAAGGTTTGGRTCTTGGATCTTTCACGGACGAAATCATGAATTTTTGGTTTCCCCTCTGCTCCCACCTCCCAGTGCTTCCCAGAGAGGAGGAAGGGCTCGGTACTACTGGGATACAGGCTCTGAGTTATTCCTCAAGGGCCACTATCTGCACAGGTGCAGAAACACCCCYGGAACATCTAATATTTACTTCCAAAGGATGACCACGCCGTTGACCTTGGGAATTGCTTCCCACAGAGGGAAGCATGTTTCCTGTCCCGGTTAATCCAGTGGGGTTTACACAAAAACTGGATTTAAGGATAGCAACATCTACATAGGATAATAACTACTGTGCTGTGTTGCATGTTCCAATTCCAGATGCTCCACCAAAGCCACACTCACTAGGATGCTCTACCGATGGATCACAGGAAGGAATCTCAATTCATTTGCTCTCTCTTCACCATTAGCCAAATTCAGCAACTACAATTTCTCAGGGGAGACCAGATGGTCCAGGCTAATAACGAGGAGCAGTTTCCATTAAAGCTGCTGCTCTGGATCCAGCCCGGACTTCCCGACGGCTCCTCCGTGAAACGAGCCCAACACAGGCCCCTCTGCGGCGTCGCCTCTGCCGCAAAAGCCGTTCCTGGAACGGGAATGTTCCCCCCAGATCCCGGCGCCCTGAGTGGACAGGCAAAGGGCAGGAAGGAGACAGCCTTGGGGACCCGCAAGGAACTTCCCAGGGGTGCCCACCTAAAGGGAGGGTTTTCTTTGCTGCGCTAACAGTGCACACAAAGGCTCCCGAAAGGAAACACACAAACAAACAAGGAAACCTTCACGCTGAACGAGGAGCAGCTGCTACAACTCGGTGTATCATGATATGAGAAAAAAGAGGTCAGTTGGTACCACACACTTCTCACACCAGTAGGGTTTCCAAAGAACGGGGAAGCTGGAAATAGCTGTTCCCAGGAGGCTGGAATGGAAACGCGAAGGTGAAATATAAGGAATCACATTATTCTCTTTGCCCCCTCCTTTACAGATCTGGTGCTGGGAGTATCAATTTGGAAGACAGAGAATAATAAATATTAATTAGCCTTTCAGAAAAGCCTCTCATATTCTTTCAGCCATGGACGAAGCACTAGAATTACAAATCCTCAGGAGTGGTATGAGTAAGCTGCAAAGCTATCCTSTGTTGCAATCTATTATTATTTTTATACCCTTGCCACCTGCCTCTAGAACTTGCACTTGTCTAATCCAAAGATGTTATGGAGAAAAATTCCCACTACTGGGCAAGGAGTCTGGCTTTTCCCAGAGCCGACTCATCTTCCTTCCCTGTGCCAGACAGGCTGCAGCTCGCGCAGTGTCCCCCACGGCAGCTCCGYGTTCCCGGGCTTTCAACCATCCATATCCGTGAACTTCCTCTTCCCGTAGTTCTGCACCAGGCTGGAAGCTGTGATTTGCGAAGCCTGCCCCTTCTCCCAGCACTGGAAGTCATGCAAGCCTTTCTGGCCAGCTCGAAACAGAGCCCGCTCCAGTTCGTCCAGGCGAGCGACCAGCGCCGACGTGTCCTCGTTGTAGGCGTTCTGCGAGGAGTCCATGATGCGGCGGAAACGGCTCACGAAGGTCTGAACGAGAGAAGCACAACGACTGACAGAGAAGGCAAAGGCGTCCCCCGGCCCCGCGCAAGCGCTGCACCTTCCGACACCCCAAGTTTTGTCTTGCTGCTTTGTCTTTGATGTTTTCAGTCTTTGACAATTCTTTTGTCAAAGAACGGGCACTGCCAAGAGCTCAGAATGCTCTAAAACCTTAGCCACCAMCCAAATTTAAAAGGTCAGTTTATCAATCATAAACACTGAGTGGTCATGCATCATTCATTCGCTTTAATTCTGCTTCCTAAATACTTGGAGGGTAATTTTCTTTTCTTTTTTGGTCTAACTGAAGGAGGRAAAAAAAATTACACTTCACACGATTATTCCTTCCTGCCAACAGAGAACCTGTGCAAAAGAGGCTCCTTTCCCAAGACGTACATTAGCAAAAAGGCAAGCAAAGGTGTGGAGCTCTTCTCAGAGCAAACAGCAAGCTGTAAATGGGCAGCAGCAAGCAAATGGGCTTTAATGAAGACTGATGCAGAGAAGCTTTAAAAAGCAAAAGCCAATAGCAATCATCCAAGACTACTTAGAAAGCTGCTGGAGACGCCTCGGAGCTGTTAGTGGCCACCTTTAAAAGCTCAAGGAGGACAGGAGAGGTCAGAGAATTGCAGAAATGGGCAAAGACAGATACCATCTGTTAGAAGAGAGAGGAGCCAGGGAGGGAGGAAGCAAGAGCCAGGGAATCGTGTACATCCATCAGCTTAATAACAATTCCTGGAAACATACAGGGGCAATTAGACTATACGTAGACTCCTGGAAGAAAATAAAGAGAGGATTTGCAGCCAGCAGGAATTTGTTAAGAACAAACTTCTACAGAGCGGCCTAACTTCCCATTTGGACAGAATATTGTGCCTCACAAGAAAAGGAAAGGCAGCAGACAGATGCCCTTCACAGCAATTGCTTCACAAAGCAGTTCTGTAAGACGTGGCTCAATTATTTTTAGCTGAAGATATCGAGTGGGTAAAGATATTTATGGGTAGGGGAATCAGGAATCCTTTCTTATCAGGAAGGGAAAACACACTGAGTGGGATCCTACAGGGTTCTAACTGAAACCCAGAACTATTTGATATTCTCATTAAAGAGCTCAGTATTGGGATAGAAATTATGCTTATTAAGTTTGCAAACAACATGGCAGGGGAGGCGCAACTGCAAGCACACTGTGGGGAAGAACGGTAATTCAGAATTATCCTGAGGAATTAGAGCCACGGTCTGAAAATAACGGGATGCACTTTGCCGTGGGACGAGTGCAGGGCTTCACACTGGGGCAGAAATAACGAACTGTACCAACACAGGATGGAAGATGATGGTCTGGGTAGGCAGCCTCTACTGGGGACCACTGTTTGGAGCGCAGCCTGAACGTGCTGCATCAGCGGGAGCAAATGGCAGCAGGACCTGGCAAATTCACAAAGCAATTGTGCTTTGTTTGGCTTTCCTTGGTACAAGGCAAGACTGAAGCTGGAGAGTATCCGCCGCCCAGGGCACTTCCAAGCGGATGCAGATCAACTGGGAAGTCCCCAGGAGTGCACAATAAGGACCAGCAGAGGCTAAAAAGCACGACCCACAAGGAGCTACTGAGTGAATTGGGACCATTTATTCCAGCATGGAGCAAACCAGGATTGGGAAACACACTCTGTAGTGTTCAAATACACAAAAGCATCCTGGAGGAAGGAATAATCTGTTTGCTGTGTTTASTGGGGATGGAACAAACAGAACAGAGCTTGTATTGGGGCAGCAGAGATTCAGTGTCAACAGAGGAAACCTTCTCCAGGCAGGATAGAGAAGCACCGAAACACAAGTGCCCGGGGGGCTGCGAAGCCTCCCATCGTCAGAGCTTTAAAAACAGGTTAGACAAACAGAAGTGATGTAGGGTGGATTCACAGAATCATTATTGTTGGAAAAGACCTTCAAGATCAGYAAGTCCACCCATAAACTCATGCCCACCCTGCCTGTTAAACCATGTCCCCACGTGCCTCATCTACCCCTTCCCGAGCACTGCCAGGGACGGGGACTCCCCCGCTTCCCTGGGCAGCCTCTTCCACTGCTGCACCACTATTTCTATACACAGTTTCTTCCTAATATCCAAACTGAACCTCTCCTGGGACAACCTGAGGCCGTTTCCTCTTGTCCTGTTTT